ATATGCAAAGTGAAAACTTCCGCGCTCCGCTATGCTGGATAACCCTCTTCCTTTCCCCTCTTGACGCCTCTCTCCCTCTCTTTCTTTCTTTTTTTACGGAAAGGTCTTCTGGAGAAGCGGTTGCGTTGTTTGGAACAAATCAAACAAATTACCGCCGCGTGGACCCAAGATTAATGCACATTATTGCACATTACTGCACTTATAACTTATAAGGCACTCTTTCCTTTGAATGGTGTTTTGCGAAGCCATCAAGTCAGCTTGAAGCCCGGAAGCATGAAGGTACCGGCCATGATTTCCACAACTGGTCGGGCCAATCTGCCAGCAGCTTCGATAAAAACTCTATGGCGCCAGCAGAGGTACGCCCGTCAGGTCATGCAGGAAACGCAGTGTCCCGGACAAAAACCGAACGTCGCGAACATAAAGACACATGGCCCATAAGGTGACCTCCCCCCCCCCCGCCTCCTCCTCCGTACTCTTGAAAAAACAATGCGCCGTCCGTTACCGCGCAACTCGAGGTCTTTAGGCCAATGGTCACTCACGCACGCTGCCTGTGCCATCCTCGTGTCCCCTAATGAAATGAGGTAATTGGAGACCGCGCCGCGCGCCCTCTCGGTAATTTCAATTACTGTTCTTTACAACCGCCGCCGTGGTCACGTGGTTACATACTGCAGGGGCGGAGGCACGTAGTACAAGCGAGACACTTACCAACGACCACCCCGTTTAAGACTCGCCGAGTCGAAGTACCCACGTCATAACGGACGGCCTGGAAAAAAGAAGTCTTCCGTTCACTCGAGCGAACCCGCTGTGGGAAGGATCTCACGACGTTCGTGCTCGCCCTCTGACGGCGACAGCGGAAGGAAAACGCGTTAATCGCGTGAGTACGGCCAATCATCAGACCTGCCGCTTCGTCTTCACCGCTGTGCGTTTCCCCGAGCCCTAGCGGCGCCGCCGCAGGGGAAGGCGGCACTTGATTCATCTAGCCCCCGAAGTGCCAGGACCATAGAAAGGATCTCTACCTGTTTCCGCGATAGCGACACCCGTAGGCACGTCACTGTTACGGATCGTGGGACAGTGACACTGTGTGTAACAAGAGTAAGGAGGCGAAGTTTCATTCTTCGGCAGCCATTTTTTTTTTCGCCCGAGTTTCGAATTCGAGCCCAGCTTGGTTACACGAGAAGACGGCATGTGAATCGGTGTGACGGATCGCGAAATTACTTGATTACAGTGAGGTAAGGTGGAAGATGGATACGTGTTTCCAAGGGTATACCCCAAGGAGTCGTGCTTCACTGCGTCATTGCGGGGAACGTGACTGCTCACGGTATGGGGACGTCGTTAGGTGAATTTCTTAGGGGAGGGGGAGGGGCGGAAGCGGCGTTGTGGCGTGCTCGGAGTCGACGAGAGCGAAACGCGATCTCGTGATGCGTCCTCCGAAGATGGCACGCATCTTTGATTGGTGTTGTCGCCCAGTTTAGTGCCTCTTCAACTACACTCTTAAAAAAGAAAGAAAAAAAATGCAGTTCTTTGACACTTGTTGGCGGGCCCTGACTTAACCCTATACGACCCCCTTGACAAGCGAATTACCTTGACGGGTTAACTACCTATGACGGATGAACTACCTTGAGAAATGAGTGTACTTTTGGTGATGAGTAGTGGGACCGAAAAAGAAAGTTGAGAGGTTACTGACTTCGGCATCAGCACGAAAGGTGCGGGGGGGGGGGGTATTTTTGTCACCTGAGAGGGGGACGCAACGTCAGCCCTGTACATTGACTAAATAGGGGGGGGGGGGGGGGGCGCTGTGATTCGGAAGGGGGCGCAAATTGAGCCCGATACATTGACATAATAGTGAGCAAGGGTGCAGTGACGCGTCCCCCTCCTCCCTGAAGGGCGACTGCGCACACCTATGGGTACCTACACAAAAATTCTAAATTTTTTTTTCGAGAAATGAAAGGCCAAGTCTTGAAGAGCCTATAAGATGTACTGCTAAGCTTGAGATAACACTAAAAAAGTAAATAGTTCGTTTCTAAATACTAGTTGAGGTTTCTATAGTACCGTGAGGTCACAACACAGTACGGGGTTCTCGTCACGTGCTTGCGCAAGACATCGTGACGTTATCACTGCCGCTCCTCAACGTGTCTCGATCCCTTGGTGACGCACAATTGGCCATTTTAGAAGTGTTCGTGCCTGACGTCATCACAATTGAACGGACAGCCATGTGACGTCACCAGAATTAGTGTTGCAGCCTGACGTCAAGCTAGTACCGTTGTCGGTCGGTGCGCCGTGGGATGGCTTTAGTATGAAATGAAAATAACTTAACAGCATTTGCCGATCTTCGCACTTGCTCAAAGCCGTGTCTCTGTAGAGAAGACTTGTACGGCAGAGTAAAGAGGCTTTTGGAAAATGGTGTCAGTACCCCCTTACTGTGTTTCTTTAAAAAAACTCACACACGTGTCAAGTCAGAACCCACCAAAAAGAGTGCCTCATACTGTTTTTTTTTTAAACTTTGGCGTTTGTTAGGGCCAACGCAAAGGCCACGCGCATAGTTCATGATTCCGGGGATAGTGAGAGATAAGAGGGGTGTCATGATTAAAGAATCGCAGCGTGGATTGACCCAGGAAGGCGCCTTGACCTGGGCGATATAACACACCTTCTCGATAAGACATCCGAGGTAAAGTGTGCGCTTATGATTCGTGCTACGCGCGCGTGATTGCGCGCGTAGCATGTGCGCGTGATTCGTGATACGTGCGCTTATGATTCGTTGTCGCACATATTAATCTGAAGGCGGTAACTTAATTGACATAAGAATAAGGCGTAATAATGTTAAGCTTGTTTGATAAAAAAACAGTTTAAATATAAAAGATCTGAAGTCCTACTCTCCTTTTTCTTTTCTTTTCAGTGAACATTTCTAACATACCCGTCACCGAAATAGACAACGAAGCCGACAAATGTATTCCACACAGTGCACAAGAATGTCTGAATAGACGTAGGTAAGGTGTTTCAGATGGTCGACATATCTTTGTGAACTGAACTATCGTTCAGGGAGATGGCCCTGTCATCATTGCGTATTTCGTGAAGCAATGTATTGTATACAATGGCGTTCTATTGAACCGTTAACCATTTATTTCGACCCCCCCCCCCCCATCCTAGGCATAGTTCTAAAGCCCTAGTGATACTACGTCACGTGGTACTGCTGTATGTTAAACACGACATCGCGTGCTCACCCTCTCAAACTAACACACCTAGTATGACAGCAGCGTCTCAGGCAAAGGCGCGTACAAGTATGAAAACGTGGATCAGGCTGTCCAAGGCAGCTTGCCCACGTTGACACAGCTGAAGCGAGGTACTAAAGGAATGTAGATCTCGGGAAGCTAAGAATAACTGCCTTTCAAAACAAACAAAAAGAAAAAAATCACAAAACGGATACAGCAAGGTAACAACAGTACTCGCAGAGGAACGGTCTCCGACATTGAAACCCCATTCATACGATAAACATATCGGAGTGTAGATTTCCTTTGACGAAACCTAACCTAACGTGTGCTCTGTGAGAATGGTTTCGCGAGTCTCGCCGGCTTTGAATAGTTTGTCGAGACTTCTTTTCGAGCCGTCCTGGAAATGCTATATTCGTGCAGATACTATTGAAGAGGTACTGAAGCTTCGTGGGCGTATTGAAAACATTTCCGCTGTATAAGGGTAAAATAGGATAAAAAAGAAGTAAATTCGAAACATAGAAGCCAACGGCACACTGGGCGAGCGGATCTCTTTTTGCCACGACACAGCAATTCAATTTCGGGGTTGGCTGGTCATTTCGGCCGTTGAAAAAAACATGGGGTCAGCCAGTTCGGTCGTGCCATATCCGCTGGCTGTGTACGCTTCTTCAAAACTTACTATCTACTTCACGGGTCTCCCCCTTTTTTTCTGTTGTTGTAGGCGTTTATGTTATTTTTCCCCTTTCTCTGTTGTATATTTATTCTGGCTTACTTTCCCTTGTAGCGTACCAGTGATTCCTTTCACTGGCTTCTTTCATTGTCCATAGCCCAGTGCTGCCGTTTGGTTTTCAGGTTAAATACATTAACATTTATATAGATACTAGAAAGAACCACGATGGACTTGTTTGTCAGCTGCGTGATTGTGAGAGATCTGATGGTGTGGACTGTTTCGAATTGGCGTCAGTGCTATATATCATACAGCGGCGGCAGTACACATTTATTTGACTATTATTTACACAGCGATCGCTCGGTGAAGCAGCCTATAATGTATCGGCTCCTTCGCAATGTATAATTGGCGAAAGCCATTTAGTCAGAGACAACATACGTCGTGGCCGCTGTCCTGACACGCCAGATCATGGCTTGTTGGGCGGGAAAGAGCAGGACCGCCTCCCAGTCCTTTCAGCTTCGGTTGGGTTTGGGAGCTTTAGAAGGGTTGAGCTGAAAGACTCGTAGCATGTTCTATGGGTGTCCGCTACCTTCTCACACTACGGCATATCTCGAAAGCGAGAAGGTCAAAGTGCGTGATTAGCCCTACCTTATAGGCGGCGGCCACATCTTGTGTCCTGGTCACTGCCCGCAGTTGGTCCTCCGGCTACGCGCTCGGCAGCACACTCTGTCTGAAATGTATACGGTTGGCGCTGTTTTTAATGGTGTGTGTCACTGTGGGACAGCCCAGATAATGTGGTATAGGCAGGGATGCCAGGCAGCATAAAATAACTGGTTACCTTTCAAACACGTAAGCATGAGAGGACGTTTATAAGAGCCTCTGCTACAACAGCACCAACTACAACTACTACTACGATCACTACTACTAGTATGTTAGTACGTACGTATGTGCACCCTATCGAGGCATTATATAGGGGCAGTGTGCCTGATGTATAAGCGTTCTACAATTTGCAGTCGTAGAAGGCTTCATTTTTTTTTCTTTTTGAGCTCTGTATATTTATATGAAATCTGCGTGCGTGTCAAAGAGAAGCATCCGTAACTTTTGTTTCTCTTTTTTTTTCTACTGCGCAGGATACTCAAGGCTTTGGCCTGGACATAAACTTCCATTACAGTGCCAAGCATAGATTGGGTAAGTCGTTCCGGCTTAAGTTTTTGGGAACACTCGATGTAGACGTCCAGTTTTACTACGCTACACTTTTTAAGATATACTAATCACACCACATCATCCTTCGGTAGCCACTTTGTGCAAGGTGCCTTCGCAAGACTTCGTTTGAAGTTTCTGTAACCGCTTCGCGGATAATAATGGATACACGAAGGCGCGGAGCTTTGTTTAGAGCTTACTTGAACAAGTGTGGCATATATAGCTCACCCACACTTGTGGCTTAGCAAATTAAGTGTCGTACTGGTGAACCTATAAGGCCACAGCTTTGAATATCCGCCGGCGGAATGCAAGAACACTGTACTTAGGTTCAGGTGCACGTTAAAAACCCAATTCATGAAAACTAAGTTGATTGATTCATTCAATCTGTCACTATCGAACAACTAAATGTTGCAATGAAAGCCTTGATAAACAATTCAGACCTATTATCGGTTAAAATGTTTTCAGTATCATAAAATGGCTCCTCGCTCTTCGTCGCCAGACCTACGCGTACTGCATCGACGCTGCGCTATTACGAGCAGGTCTTGCGCGTTCGCGGCTTCAACCCACAAAAACACTTCGCCACGGGAAGATCAAGCCTCCTTGTGCTTCGCATTTCGCAAACAAATTTAGTTTGTTCTCGATTTCGTGGCTCAACCGTGACGGCCTTGAAAGCAAGCATCTACAGAAAGACAAACACAATCGAAGAAACTGAGTGCTCGGCAATCCGCTGACGTATCGCCACCTATATCTATCGCAGCACGCAAACAGATCGCCAGGGATACAAGGAGGAGTCGGTGAAGCGTGCAGTCAGCCACTCTCACTGGAACTATAGGCACCGAGGCGCGGCGCCGCGATCGTCTGTCACTCGGTGACTGGCGCAGTGGTGTGTTACCGGCGAAGCCCGCTTGTTCAGCGCAATATATACCTCCGGCTGTATAGTAGACCCGATGAAGCAACGCGGGGTGTATCGCTAATTCCGTGCAGCGTCGGCATTGCTCGGCTGACCGAAAGCCGCGGCAGTATACCTACTATCGCCTTTCGGGAGGGGAAAAATACCACCTGTATACATACACACGCGTGCACAATCTTCGCTGAACATAATAACCTGGAACACGATATGGAAGCCGATTCTAAGGAAGCGGGGAGAGTGCTTTTATGTGGGATCAACCTAGCACGAATTCAGGGGAAGGCGCATTAAATTATTCCAATCTGTGGTTGTGCATAACCTAAGAGACTTAGAAAGGAGAAATGGAGGTGCCCGTGTTTACTGAACCGATTCGCGTATTTTTTTTTGTCTTTTTTGTTTCACCTCGATGAGCAAAGTGGCGTTCTTGTGTCCGCTTCTTCACGGTCCAGTCGGCTGAGCCGGTACTTGGAAGAGGTCTTGCGATTATACTTTTGAGTGCATAGCATCTCACAGAATCCCATTCTTTCGTTTTTTTTTTTTTTCTTTTCGGCGACTTTCCGAAGTGGGCCTTGCGAATTCGAGCGAGTTAAATTCAACAACAATAAGACCGGCGCGAGCGTTCACCGCTCCCTTCGGGGAGACCGTGAGAAAAAGTCGAGTGTTCAGATTATGCACACCATGCAAGGATCATCGTTCTTACGAAGATAATGTCGGCGACACTTACATTTCATTATCTCTTAGATACCGGGTAGTGACTGCTTCCGTTCAGGACGTTCTAAACAATATTGTTATTGTTCGAGAGGAATGAAGCTGGATGGAGGTATCGCCATGTCTAAATGTCTTTTCGGAGCAAACGCTGCCCTTCATCACTGATGGTTCCCACCATGTACAATGGTATTGTTGGTAACACAATAGCAAGATCATCTGCGTACAGTTGTAAAACCAAGTTTATTCGCTCCTTATTACGTCTGTGATCCTGTAAAGGACAGCAAAGTAACCGGTGCGTGTTTGGTCTGGTTTTTATCACCCTTTGTCGGCTTCCGAACGGGCATCCGGCTATCAGCTCCAGTTTCGTCAACAGTTCATAGTGCTGCGTACACTCTCTCTCTCTCTCTCTCTCGCACACACACATACACAGACACACACACACACACACACACACACACACACACACACACACACACACACACACACACACACACACACACACACACACACACACACACACAAAAAGGCACGGAACTTCGGGAGTTTTCCAACAGTCTTTAAACGTATACACGCAACTGAGAATGGCACGAGGCGTTCTGTGAGCTAGAAAGCGGTGTGTACTGTTACCCGAATAGCAGCAACATGGCGGTACACCAGAATTCCGCACGCAGCCTGCAAGCAATCGCGTGAAGAGGTGTCTCTGTAATTTCCTATATTTCGGCGGCGGCAGCTCTTCGAGCGGAATAACGGAACCGCAGTAGCCGCATTCGTCCTCCGCGCCACGTTACTGTTGCACTGGAGACCGCCTGCCGCCTACTCATACTCCATTTCAAAGCGGCGCGAGCATTGCTATAGGTTTTTTTTTAATGTCGACCAGACTAAGTGACCACTCGTAAGCGTGCAATGAACAGGTGCACATGTGCCCTGATCGTGATCTTTTATACGGAGAACTATACGACGCTTTATTGCATTACACTACAGATTATTTACAATTCAACCATCAAATTTGTCTTGTTGCATCTTTCTTTTATGACTCGTAAATGGATTAATTTTAATCTGTTATTAAACAAGAAATTCATGAAAACTATCCGGTTCTTGGCCAATCCACCAGCGTAGGTATGCGCCACATCGTCAAGGATCTTGACTTGACTTGACTTGGAGAACTATATTGTTTTAGTGACCGAGTGCTTCCTCAACAATACTTGTGTATAGGTTTCAACAACGCCGCTATTACAAATTTATGGCCGGTTCAAGTGCTTGTAGCCCCGTCGCGGTGGTCTAGTGGCTGAGGTACTCGGCTGCTGACCCGCACGTCGCGGGATGGAATCCCGGCTGTGGCGGCTGCATTTCCGATGGAGGCGGAAATGTTGTAGGCCCGTGTACTCAGATTTGGGTGCACGTTAAAGAACCCCAAGTGGTCGCAATTTTCGGAGCCCTCCACTACGGCGTCTCTCATAATCATATGGTGGTTTTGGGACGGTAAACCCCCTATAACAATCAATCAAGTGTTCGCAAGTTTGTGGCGTATTCAAACGTTTTGCTGCCAAAGCTAGCTGCTATGAGATTAAAACTCGGGTCACGCGCGGCGCCGTAGTTGTCCGCCGCCGCCACCGGTGTCCGCGACTACTGCCACACGAAATAACAAAAAAAAAACCTTGCATAAAGAACACAGTGGGGCTCCGACCCAGGTCCGCTGCGTGCCAGCCCAGTATTCTACCACTGAACGACGCCGGTGCTTGGAACTCGATTCCAAACTGGCCTTAGGCAGGCTTGATGTCTGGAAAGGAATCGCGCTAATTTGAATAATAAAGCGTTTTAGAAGAGCAAAAGAATAACCACATGTCACACAATGCGAATAGCGTAACGAGTGGGTCGTCAAACGCTCCGACCTACTACAAAAGCTTGTTCTTGATCCCCTATTTACTGTGGCACACACCCACTTCAGGCATTTTCCCCATCGTTGCCAGCCACTGCATGAACAACTGGCACAAACTTCTTTTCAAGCGTTTAGGGGATACTACGCTTTTGAGAAGAAATGCGAAGGATAGCATATATCGAATACTGGCCTACTGTCCAGAAATCATTATTATTAAGGCCGAAGTGGGTACCCAGGAAGTGTGCTTGCAGCAGTTACCCACTGAGTGTTTAGAAAAGCCGCGGTGGTCTAGTGGATAAGGTTCTGGGCCGCTGACCCGCAGGTCGCGGGATCAAATCCCGGCTGCGGCGGCTGCATTTTCAATGAAGGCGAATGTGCTAGGCCCGTGTGCTCAGATTTGGGTGCACGTTAAAAAACCCCAGGTGGTCAAAATTTCCGGAGCCCTCGCACTACGGCGCCTTTTATAATCATGTGGTGGTTTCGGCACGTTAATGCTCACATATCAATCAATCAATCAATCAGTCAATATCAATCAGTGTTTCTTGAAAAAGGCCCTGAAAGGCCACTCTTAAAGCGTTCGCTGTTACTGTGCTGCGCCTTCCGTGCAGGCCTGGTGGTTTTTTTTTTTTTGCTTTAACAACACTAGTCTAACTAACATGTCTACGGATAACTGCAGTTATAAAAGCTTTTACAAGCTGTCGCTACCATATCCCCTTGTAGGCACGGACTACCTGTAAGCCAATACGTACACCAGAGCACCACACACGCCAAAGTTATGTGGTAAGCTCTGTTCCCGAAGCCCGAAAATCCCACACAGGGTGCCGTGTGTGGCTCTAGCACTATAAAGGCCAGCGAATCGTTTCACGCAACCGCCACGTCACGCTATGGGACAGAAGTCCCGCCAACCGTGACCTCCTGGTTTCGCAGCCAGGTGCATTCGTAGTCGGCTTCTTTGCGCGCCACTCACACAGGTGAAGTTCAGCGGTGAATATTTCTTTCAAAAGTTCTCCTTCTTATACACCCATTTTCGCTATCCACCTGTTATCTTCCTGCGTGCGTGCCAAAAAAATAGTAATAAAGCCCGTGGGAGCACGGCAGCCCTCGCTGTCCGAAGCGTGACCGGGACTTTCACCGCGCAGTCCTCCAAAAGTCAAGCCTTTCCCGGGTCACCCTCTCGGTTTTATAGCTCGCCTGAGAAATTCTCGGCCTCAAATGCCAGCCGCTGCTGCATTTGTAGAGCTTCCCTTAAAGAACGATAAGTAGACGGAAGTCCAGCGTTGGTATATTGTTAGGCCACCACGGGGGAATGATTGGTATAGCGCATTAATTTGTCCGTTCTTCATCCATGTTGCTGCTGACGATGACGTGGCGTCAGTTCTGTGTGTCAACCGTCTAAGAGAGAGGGATAGAGAAAAAATGAAGGCCGGGAAATTAACCAGATATTAGCATCCATTTTTTTACCCAGCACTGGGGGTGGGGAAATAGGGGCAAGAAAGA